CAATAACACATGAATAACGCGCAATAACATATGAATAACACAGGAGGGAATATTCCCCGTGTTACTGCGCCGTTTTTTTTGCTCTGCCGCGTGAGATGTCGTGGCGTGTTTTGATTGGCTACGCACGTTATTTTTACGTGCGTAGTACTGATGTAATATTTTTTCCAATAGTAACCTCATCCTTTAGCGAAGTAGGTTTGCCATTGAGGGTTGAAGATGCATGAAATGCTTCCTGCGAGCACTTTAGTAAATGCGCAAGAAGGCTTCGGAGGAGGCGACGTGTGTGTCTATATATATATTACCAACTGACATGAATCTTTAAGATAGTGTTTCATTTGTCTATCATTCAATTACATATACATAAAAACAAACAATTATTTTAATTCTGCATGCACGCAGACTCTATTTGAGGCTGCATTTTTCAAGCGTCGGGCTACTGTCCGCGAACTTTTCATTTTTTCACATGCTTTCCTTCAGCGGCGGCCGCTTGCCGCTGAATAGGATGAACACGGGCCTCAGAATCAACCCCACGGCCCAGCGTTATGGAACGTTAATCTCCAAAGTAATGATTTCAACATTAACCTGATGTGAACTCGCTACAACCCACTTTATCTAATAATTAATTACTTTATCTTCAATCATAATGTTATACAACAACAATGAGGAAATATTTACCTACATAGTGGGATTAAGGCTTTGTTGTTGTTATTGTTGTTGATATAAAAAATTTAAGTTCAAAAAACCCAAGAAAAAAAATTTAAGTTTTAGATATGTAAATACATAGGAATTGGGTAGTATGTATGAAACCATTTAATTCTATGTATTTACATATCTAGGTCCTAAATTAAATAAATAAGAATTAAATGGTATGTATGTAAAGGCCATGTGCACCTAGTGCTTTGTCTGAACCCACATGACTTCAAACTTGGCAGCCAGATAAAGATGCCTGTCGAAATCCTAGTTTCCCATGACATAACCTGTCCTGAATATTATTATATGAGCGGCCTGAGGTACATCTAAACTAATCCGCCTTTAGATATATATATATATATATATATATATATATGTCCTATGTGTGTGTGTACCCCAAAAAATCTGTCCTTGCCGACGGACCAATGCAGCGAACTCTTATAGCATGATGAACCAATTCTAAACCCTCAATCTTCTATCTGGGAGACACAAGCTGGCATCTCACAATACCAGCAGCACCGCCATAACACAGCCATCTTTCGCTACCCTTATTCATGTTCCATCTTAGCTTGTGCATGGCCACAATCTTGGGAGGAAATCTAGTAATATTTTGCCTCGATTCATCTCCCCTACTCTCAGTTTCTTGCAATGCACCATCTTCTCCAGCTTCTGCTTGCTTGCTTGGATTGCATTTTCTCTTCTTCTGGCTGCTAGTATTGTTTGCTGCATTGACGAGTTTATTGGTCTTGATGAAACAGGAAAACAACAGCTGCTGCTAATCTAATTGTATAATTTATGTTTACCTGGCATTGAGGAGTTTATTGGTTTTGCCTCATCAGCCACCACCTTTGAAGCTAATGGTTGTTTAGGTAAAGGAACACTTTTCAAGGGGGTGTTCATGGCCAGAGTTGGACCATCCTCGGCTAGAGAACCGCAGAGGAAGTGTGGCTTACGATATCGACTTGAACCCTTGTCAACTGCTTCAGCTGTGAGCTACAAACAACAGCAACTAAAACTTCAAAAGAGGATGCAAATTGTACTATGTGCATCTAAAAGGCATGACAAGCATATGCTAATAATATTAGCGGAAAGAATGTCCTTCCATCCGACAACCCTCCCTTGAGATTACTTTATTACCTGAAAGTAGCAAGTACGACCATCTGAACCACAGTAGGCAACAAAACCTGAACACAAATGTGCCCAAAGCATACGTTAGCTTGATAATTTAAATGCTCGTACAAGAATACTATTGGAAAACCTTAAATAGGTAATTTATTAAGAAGTCTAGATAAGAACTTGCCTGTGCGGTTATATCTATGACACGCCAGATGCAGTTAAAGCGAATTAGCATTAATAAAAGGAGTATTTATCTTTCTACAATTAATGATTGTTTCACTCGAGATATTTACTTACATGCAACCCCTTGTCCCACATCTCTTTCTCCCTATCATTCTTCCTTTTCATTCTTTCTTTTTTTAGCTAAAAACAATCTTAGTGCAAAATGCCTTGAAATTTGATGCAGAATGCAACTAATTATCAAAGAAAGATTTCAGTTCTACCTTCATTTCTATTCTGATTTTACATCCCTTTATTTGTTTTGATTTGTCTCTCTTCTATATATCCACTCTGCTTAACTTATTCAGTGAATGCAAGAAAGGTTTCAGTTCTACCTTCATTTCTATTCTGATTTTACATCCCTTTATTTGTTTTGATTTGTCTCTCTTCTATATATCCACTCTGCTTAACTTATTCAGTGAATGCAAGAAAGGTTTCAGTTCTACCTTCATTTCTATTCTGATTTTACATCCCTTTATTTGTTTTGATTTGTCTCTCTTCTATATATCCACTCTGCTTAACTTATTCAGTGAATGAAAGAAAGGTTTCTGTTCTACCTTCTTTTCATTTTTTCTCTGATTTCACATCCTTTCATTTGTTATGATTTGTTTTGCTTCCATATATCCACTTCTTAATTTTTTCAGTGTCACCAGTGCAATAAAAGTACGCAAGTAAAAATTAAAGGAAAAGGTTTAATGAATATTATTACCAGTGCTACGTGATACTTGGACACTCCAAATGGCAAAAGATGAGCAAGACTGAAAGTGCAGTCCTTGCTGTTTTGTAGCCAGTGGTTCCCCGGTAGCAGGTATATCATTTGCTATCTTTGTCAAGCTTAGTGTCCTGATGATACCGTCTTCATATGCAATGACAAGGCAACTGTAAAGATTTGGTAGAAGTCACAGTTTTGACCGATGATAATTCAATCTACTACTTGACACCTATATTAGATATATTTGTTGCACATGATTTGTTAGTTGGGTCATGAAACTGTTGCTAATAATGTGAGAATACATCTTAAGAAGAAACATAATAAAATTCCATAGAAGCATGGAGGATATTTCTCATCTGCCTAAAAATGAATATTGTAAAAATGTAAAAAAGAACATTAACTTCCTAGTTTTTTTTTTTTTCTATATTTACATATGTGCATATGTATGCTTCTGCTAGAGTTATACAGCTATACTAAAAGAGGCCAAAAGCTGTCCAGGAAAAGTTAGCCATGAATAAAAATGAAAGTCAAAAAAGGATATGCCAAAATGTATTGCATTAAAAAAATGAACTACTAGGATATAGTTTAAATTAAAGAACCGAGTAAACACAAAAAACCCAAAAGTTCTTCAAAATGATTTAGCAAATAACAAAATGATCATGTCTACCATTATTCATAATGAATGGAGAAAAAGGATTTGACCTCAATATAATATGGCTAACAAAACTTTGACAAAGGAGACCTCTAGCCAATCATCCTTTTAATTTTTGGTCAAATAAAAGATGGTGAGGTTAGACAAAACATGAAAAAAAAAAAAAAAAGCGACACAAGAAAACTCGAATAGAATATTGTAGCATGAGTATCGCCGAAAGAAAGATCGAGGTATAACAGTAAGTTTGGAAATTCCATAATGAAAAAGAAAATACATCCAAAATCTTCACTCCCCTCCATCTTTTAGTTGTTGAACACTTAAAAATCCATAGATTCACAAATACGCATGCTTGAGAAAAATTGTGACAAAGTTTTTGACAGAGTTACAGCACATAAATATTGTCAAATAATTTATAGCACACCCTAAGCTCCATTTTATCATCATAAACCTAAAAACTTCAGATTTCCTCAAATATAGTACACCACACTACAACCTCATTCTTAATTGAACTTAAAGTTGAATTAGGCCTTGCTACACTAGGTGCTCCCTATTATCAACTAACTTCAAATATTTGCAAATTACTAGGAAATGTACAGGGTAACTGTAGTTACCTGGGGTTCTTCAACCAATCAAGACTTAACACAGCTCTTTGTACTGGACAAAGGTCCAATAGAGGACGATAGGGGTCGCTGTACAAGAAAAGTGTCAAAAATTGGATCTAGAAAATAGTGCAAGGAAATAAAAAAATAAACAAAACTTCATATAATGTAGAAGTGACCAACAGTAAATAAAAATATAGCCACTGTGCGACACAGAATCACTTCATAATAAAAGAAAATGAGAAATCAATAAATCTAATCTTGCTAAAATCTAATGAAGAGAAAGAAAAAGAGGAACAGTGTAATGGTAGTGTCGCTAATAAAATATAAAAAAAATGAGTTAAACACTTAACATTCAATACCAGACATTATCTACCAACATTTTTAACCAATAATTTAAATAATGATTACATTTTCATCAAATAATCCACAACTCTTCTGGTTTGAATCCAACAACTAAGACAAATAAATACAATCAGGAGTTAAAAAAATTACAGAAAATATAATTTACAAAAACTTAATTAATAATTTGTTCAGCTCTTACAAATCTCATTGTGTATGAATTAGTTATTCATTAAAATACAAGAAGGAGAACCAAAGGGTCATCCGATCATTCAAACTACCATCGTTTACGGAAGGACGTATGGGATATTGTGTGGACTGCGGAGGCAAGGTGACCTCAACTTCTTAGCGGGAGCTTGTTAGGTGATAAATGAGGTGTATAGGTATTATGAAAGCAACCAACTTAATTCTATAACGGAAATCAAGTTAAAGTAAATTAATGGAAATCATTCAAACTACCAACTCTTTCCTCTTTTAATTCCAGAGGAGAGTTTGAAATATAATATAGTACAAATTAATAGAATTAGAGATATAATTATAGTACTAAAAATTGTTGTTGATACTAAGATTTTTAATATTATAAGTGTTTATGTTCCTCGAGTACATGGAGATATAGATTTAAAAGAAATTTTCTAGAATGCACTATAAGAATCAATCCAAATGATACCTCTTAAAGAAAAAAAAAAATTTATTGGAGGTGTGTTGACAACTCAAATAAATAAAAAAAAGGAAATAAACTAACATTATAATTCTTATAGGTTCCCACTCAAGTTCAGTGAATAACAGCTCCCGCTGTTTATTTTAGTATTAAGGACTAATTTGAAATTTTTGGGAGGTTTGAATCGAGTCGGTTACAGAAACCCACAAAGACAAAAATCCTGATCGTCTTTCTCCCCAGATAGAGTCGAAGTCTTCTTTAGTGATTCTCACAGTACAATGGTTGTGAGGGCTAACGGAAAAGCATCAACGGGATCGTCGCATACGGGACTTCCGAAGCTCCTTCAAGATCGAACAGAGACAACTCGCCAGACGCACGAAAGGCAAGGACGGGATAGCTTTGTACAGAGACATCTAAAATTTCTTAATCCTCCCTGTACCACACATTAAAATCGAAGTCACGCTCCCTCTTGATCATACCGCGATCTCACCTGATGTTTGTAAATCTGGACTGAAATGGCTTAAAATATTAAAATTTGGATTTTAAAATTTAAGCTTGTAAATCTAAAAAATGTAAAGTTGAGTTTTTCGGACTTAGGCTTCTAGGGGACGAAAAATAATTTGGATATCAAGCCTCTTGAAATCTTAAAATACCGTCACCGAATTCGCAATACTTCAGCTGGCAAATAGAAAGCGGTCACTTTTTGAAGCCTAAAATCTTAAAAATTTCGCAAATACTTTAAGCTCCAAATGATTTCAAAATTTATAAAAATTTTGTGGTTATATACTAAGTCAAATGAGACATCTTGAAATACGAGTCCACTCTTAAGACTAAGGTGAATATCACTTGAGACACCCTTGAGCTATGTATGCTTTAAGATATCTATATAAGCAAATCAATTACACATATTTTCAAACATCCGCACATGCTCCAACCAATGTATTGAATGCTTGAATACTAGGTTTGAGAATGCTACGCGGGTCAAAATATACACTTAATCTGCCCTACAACGCGTGCAAAACTATTTAAAAATCAACTTGAGCCAACAAATTACATGTATGCATGTGCCCCAACCAATATATTGAATGCTCAAATATTAGGGTTTAAAATGCTGCACGTGCTCATCGAGCCGCCTTATCTATAGGATAAGGTCGCAAATCTCACTTAACTAGTATGATCCTCCTCCTTGTAAGGTCTGGAGTTAACGAGTCTAGTAATTTTAAAATAGATTTTCAAATCTTAAAATAAGAATTTACAAGTTCAAATCACCTAGCTCAATCATCCTCCTTGTAAGAACAAGAGTTGACAAGACTCATGCCCTAAAAGTTTAATTTAACAAAACTAAATGTCACCCTGATTCAAATATAAAAGTTTTAAAATGCTTTACTCCCCGATGATGATTGTATTGATTAAAGATTTCAACCGAAGGAGTTAACCTTCAAAATCAAGCTTTTCAAAATAGCCAACAAATATGTAAGGAAAATTTAATCACTTATCCGCTTTCCACAACAATTTGTCGAGGGTGATGATTTTTTTATTAATTTAAGCTCACAAAGAGTGAATGTAACATCAAGTATATCTTTATATTCACAATCAAAGCAATTGCTTGTCAGTAAGGACGTGGATCGAGTCTTCTGTCTGTGTGGTTCTGCCATCAAATGACACCACATAATAGGGATTATGACCAGAGCCTTATGACCGAGTAGTTTTCGCCAAACAACATCATTATCTTACGATCACAGTCGCAGCCCGTATGTTCCCAAACATTTTACCTTTTGAGTTGTAAATTATAATAATACAATTAATTGACACAAAATCTTCTATTAGCTAGGATCGATGTAAATTTGACCCCTTAGACAAACATCCACCCCAGATCAACGAGGATACATTGGATGACGCGAACAATGACTGCAAACAAGAATCCTTCTATCAGGTGATAAGGGACTGTGACAATGTGGAATGACATAACCATGGGATATTGATCGTGTTTCAACTTCATTCTCTCACCATCCACTTTAAGCTTCAAGTGATAAATTTAAAACTCAAGTCCTAAGCTTAATGTTATTATATGTTAAATATTCAATTTTTAATGACCAGCCTCAGTCGAAAGTGTTCTCATGTTATCAGGATGGGTAATTAATCATAGGGGCTTACGCCTATTAGAAACCTCAAACCTCATATCAAAAAATCTTCACAAAATGAGGGTGAAATCTCTAGATAGTGTTTTATCTATAATCCAATCTGTTTTCTGAAAATTTGACCCTCCAAAGCTCTTTCAAATAAAAATAAAAATAAAATGTAGAGAGTTCTCGAAAGATAGAAACATTTTAGATTTTGCTTTAGCATATGATTTAGTTATTGTTAATATTTTATTTTAAAAAATAGATGGACATAATATTACTTATAAGAAATGATCCAATAAAACACAAATTGATTATTTTCTTAAGAGAAAAAGGGATCGTCGAAAGTGTAAAGATTGTAAAGTTATTTCGAGTGAAATTTTAAGTACTCAATATCGATTATTAGTTCTGGATTTTAGAGGAAAAGTTGAAAGATGAAGAATAAAGAAAACATTATCATAGAATAAGATGGATGCACCAAAAATACACAAATAAAATTATTATTATGAGTAAACTTCAAGATTTCAAGATTTGAGATGTTTATGAAGAAGTGAATTCTATGTAGGATAACGCAATAAGCAAGATGTGGCAAAACATATACTTGGAGAATCAAAAGGAAAAATTTTTATAACTAAAAATAGTTGGTAGTGCAATAATAAATGTGCGAGAGAAAAAAATAAGAAACTGTGTTATAAAAATTGATTCAAACGTAAAAACTTAGAGAACTGAAAAAAATAAAAGGTGATCTGTAAAGAATCTAAAAGAATAATTTGTGATGCTAAAAATTATGTTTTTAGTGATCTTTATAATATATTAATACTAAAAAGAGTGAAAAATATATGTATAAACTAGCCAAACAAAAAAAAAAGTAAAGACTTAATTTAAGTAAAGTATATTAAAGATGAAAATCAAAAAGTGTTTTTCTTAGAGGAATAAATTCAACATAATTATGTGAGTTATTTTGATAAATTTTTCAATGAAGTCATTGAAAATACGATCGACCTCAGTGATCATAATAACGTTACTAATAATAAAACATTTTATTTTTATCGTCACATTAGTAAAAATAAAGTTGAGGATTTAAAGAAAACCAAGAGTGAAAATTTAGTAGGCCCTAATGATATTCTAATTAAAATGTGAAAATATTCAAGAGATTTGGAAGTTTTTTGGCTTACTAAACTCTTTAATAATATTTTAAACAATAAAAAGATGTCCGAGGAGTAGAGAAAGAGTATTTTGCTCCCCATTTTAAAGAATAAAGGGGATACAAAAGAGTGTGCAAATTATAGAGGAATTAAGTTGATGTGTCATAGTTTAAAATTATGGGAGAGGGTAATTGAACATAGGGTAACACGTGATACAAAACTTTCTCATAATCAGTTTGAATCAGTTTGGATTTATGTTTGGATTTATGTCGGGCAGGTTTACTATAGAAGTTATACATTTATTGAGAGATTTGATAGAGAAGTACATAGAGAATAGGGACGATCTACATATGATTTTTAGTGATTTAAAAAAAGCTTACATTACGATTGCAAGAGAAGTAATTTGGAGAGTTCTAAATAAGAAAGGTGTTGATAAGAACTTTTATTCAAATCATTGAAAATGTGTTTCCTAGAGTTGTTACTTGTGTTCGAACAGAAGGAGGATTGATCAAGTATTTTCCTATTTTAGTTGGCTTACATCAGGTATCGGGTTTAAGCCCATATCTTTTTGTTTTAGCTATGGATGTTCTTCTTGGACATTTACATGAGGATGTAATTTGTTGTATGTTTTTCGCTAGTATTATTCTTCTTGTGGATATAGAGAAAGCGTCCAGGAAAAACTTGAATTATAGAGGTCTACATTGGAGTCTAAAAGCCTTCGTTTGAGTAGATCTAAAGCTGAATACATGGGATGTAATTTTAGTAGTAATAGTTATAGTGGTAGAGTTCTGACTATGGGTGATCAAATCATTAAAAGGTGTGATTGTTTTAGATATCCCAGGTCTATAGTTCAAATTGATGGTGATATAAATGGGGACATTATTAGTAGAATTCAAATTGATTTGTTGAATTGGAGAAATGAATCAGACCTATTATGTGATAGAAAAGTACAGCTAAGATTGAAAGGAAAATTTTATAAGATGACGGTAAGACCTGCAACAATGCTCTATGGCAGTGCTTTATAGTGCAGAATGTTAGCCTTTAAAAAAGAAGCATAAAACCAAGTAAAGTGTTGCTGAATGCTTAGATGGATGAGTGGCAATGAGTGGCATGACACTTAGAGACAAAATGCAAAATGAATATATCTGTGATACGATTGGTGTAGCTCCAATGGCCGACAAAATTAGAGTCATCTTAGATGGTTTGGGACATTAAATGCCGGCAATATGATGATCCTGTTAGGAGAGTAGATGTTTTAGATTTGAATTGTGTTAAGAAAGGCAAAGGTAGACCAAAAGAAACTTGGGCAAATTGAATAAAAAATGATCTTAATCTATTAGAATTAAATGAAAATATGACAATCAATAGAATGCAATGAAGAAAAAGGATTCATGTAATCGACCCAACTTAGTGAGATAAAGGTTTGTTGTTGTTGTTGATCCCCGAGTCCGAAAAGAGTCTTTCATATGCATGTGCTTTGCTCGGCATGCTATAGAAATTGGTTATCATAAGACTTTATTTTAGTTAGTAATGTTTTTTTTTTGCATTTTTTTTTATTACATTTAGTTTGTAATGCTACAAATGCTCAAGAAATAATAATATGTTTTTTTGTACGTATTAGACAACAATTAATTAATTAAAGTGTTTGCACATATTAAACATTCAAGAATTTCAAGCGATAAATAAACAGACATTTTTCTGCATGCTCAATTGATGCAATATGCATACCGTAGGTCCCAAAATTTTAAGCCTTCATGTCCAGCAGTCACAATCAAATTTGAGCATTCCACATCACTGCATATGCTCAGTTACCAAAAAAATAATAATAAGAATAAATAATAAAAAAAATAATAATAAGAATAAATAATAAAATAATAAAAAAATAAAATCAAATAAATCAAATGTGAGAGCTTAAAATATCAAAGATCCTAAAAATCTGTGTTAACATGTATAAAAAAAACACCTCTAAGATTAGCCAAAGCGTTAATGTCTTTATGGTAGATTCAACATTCTACAAGCAGCAAGATGCAATGCATGCCATTCAAAATACAACATGACATATGAAAGCCTAATGTAGGAAAAGGTGAGAAAAATAGCATTACTGTGCAACAGATTCATCAATGTACCAAATGTACCACTAAGCCAGTTATTAGCATCACAAGGGATAAAATTGCACGCACAATTACAACAGTCAATTAACTTGTTCATCCCTAGAGATACTTACAAGGGGAAAATATGCTGATATTAATAGAAATAACTATTAAGAGAACCATGTAATTACACATTTGATCGGCATTAAGTCATCTAATCTAATCAACATTAAGTCCTCGTTTGTGCTATCGATTATGGAGTTATTTAGGTCGGATATTCAAGACAAAATACCTTAGTATAGTTTATTTGTAGATAAAGGTTTAATAAGTGATGACCTTTTCTAAGGCAACAAGAACTTTCATAAAAGACATGAAACATCTAATCAAAAAACAATAAGTTAATGGATCTGAAATTGCTAATTATCAACCAGTACTAATGGATGAGAAAAAAAAAATAGTGATGGATGGTTACGTGATATTTAGGTAAGCTAAGGGTGAAAACCTTGAAAATTTTATAATAAAGGGGCATTTACATATATAACATACAATTCTTATGCATTTACATATATAACAACTAAACTTTTATATTTATATGCATAACACTCAAATCTCTAACATCACATCAAAATACCATTATTACTTGCCTTTTAAAACTGACACCTTTTCATGCATAGGTTTATGACCCCATGTTGACCTCAATTTTCGTGAGGTCTAGTATTTCTCGTAGGAGTTAGGATCTAGCCTTAGGGGTCTTCCTGCGACTATCTTAGAGCCTTAGAAGTGGTGCCCGCCTCGTTTTAGTTCAACCTATTTCCGTCCTCTTTTGGAGGTTTCGCGTGTGTGGTATCGACTTCTAGCACTTAGAAGGA